ATCGACAATAGTGTCTTTCAAAAACCAACGCTTTTTCACCTCCTCTAACTTTTTAAAGCGAAATCAATATAATATTCGTGATCAGCAATGTCGATAACCTATAGATGACCAAAATTGGGACAAAAAAAACTTTCTTTTTTTTGAAGGTTTCCTATGGGACCACAGTCAAAAATTTATTTCGCCCGGGTAAAAAATAAGATAGCGTACTATGTTCGGAATTGAATGCTGATTCTTACCATACAATGTTTTTTCAAAAATATTGGGAAATGAAAAATGGCCTTATCGCCACTCGTCCTTTGAAGATCTATAGATTTGAATTGAATTAAAAACTTACCAATATGAATGAAGAAGTGCTACAGCTATTGATAAAATACCTTTTTCTTTAATTTTAATTAAATCTTTACGTAATTGTTCTTCATCAACTGCTTTCCAAATTTCAATCTATGATAAAAAAAATAATCAAGATATTTAGCGTGTGTCGAAAGATGTGGCGGACATATTTTAAATCCTTATAAAAATTCAACTAATATGAAAATGTTAAAATTTCGATAAGAACGGTTTATTATGATATGTGACGAAAACAGAGATATACAGGACCTACTGTAGTCCCGATCACTAGGACTATGAGAAAAAAGTTGTTCCAATCAGCACTAAAGATTATAGTTAAATATTCTATGATTTTAAGCGATTTTATCTTATAAATCATATCAAAAAGAAAATAATTCAAAAGAACGAGTATTGAAGAATCTTTTTAGATATGGTATGCATAAACTTCGGAATTGTTCTCCCTAAACCGGGACCAGACCAAGATTTACCAAGACTATGGTCGGCATCCGACCGAATTTACTGGAACTATAATAACCGGGTCCTCCCATCCATCTCTGGATGGTAATATTATATCACATGTTGTCTTCAATATATATCTTCTTTTTTCTCGTCTTCTCTAATGCCTAACCATCTATCCATATTAGGGTATAGAAAAATGTGGTGGCAGTAGAACAAAAACAAGTTTATCAAGTCTTTATTTCATTAAATGTTTGAAATAATTGTCGTGGTTATTTACACTCAATTGCATTCGTTGAATGCTTTTTTAATACTCTTCTTCGTTCAAAAAATTTATGAACTTGCTTACAGTACGATGCAATGATTTGGAATCGTTCAGATTTTGTTTGATTTAGCCGAATGACTAAAAAAAAAATCACATGGTATCAGATCGGGAGAATTACTTAAGTGAAAACTTGATAAACTTGTTTCAGCATTACAAACGAGAAGTTCAAGAAAAGGATACACATCGAAAACAAAAATGTGATCTTATATTGCTGTCACGTATCATAACAAATAGCTCTTATCGAAGTATAGAAAGAGAAAGATTCTTTAAGCTTTTTTATAAGGAGTTAAAATACTTCTGCCACTGCTTTTATTATGTTCTAAGTATTTCAAATACTTTTTCTCCTGTTGTTGTTGTTTTTTGTTGAATTTTCCCACGTATTTCATCAGTTAATTGACAATCATCACGAGAAAGTACAACTCTTTCATTTACTTCAATTACTTCTTCATAAATAACATCAGATATACGAACGGTCTAAATTTAAAAGAAAATGTTTTTAACAAAAAAACATTCTTATGTTAAAATCATACTAAATCAAATAATTTAGGTCGTGATTGATTTCCAATATGAAGTAAATCATGAAAACCATTTGTAACAAGTAATGCAATACGTTCACCTTTTCGTTCAAGTAATGCATTTGTTGCTACTGTTGTACCCATACGAATCCAATCAATATCAGTTGGATTAAGTGAAAAAGAATCCTAGATAAAAAATAAAATAAAATAATAGATTGTTCAAAATATTGAATAAATCTAACTTGTTTTATTAATCGACGTATTGCTTCTGTTGGTGCATCTTTATATTTTTCTGGATTTTCAGATAATAATTTCATTGTAATAATTTTACCATCTGATGTACGAGCTACAACATCAGTAAATGTTCCACCTCGATCAATAGCAACTTGTAGACGTCCCATTGTTTTTTTTTATTTATATCTACAATAAAGTTACTTTTTGAATTATTTTTAAAACAAAAATAATAGAAATTGTAAGTGGAGAAAACGAAAAGGAGGACACTTGATATCTTCTCTCCTTCGTTATAAGAAAAAAACAATAAGATAAGAAAAGAAAAAAAATATTTCTATTTTTTTTTATTAACGCTTTATTTATTTATTATGACGAATTCGCTATGTGGTGCCGACCGTCTTATCACAAATAAGGCTTCTAGATACTACGAACTTAAAACACAGATTAACAAAAATAATCAACTGATCAGAAAGAAGGTGCATACAACAATAAGGAATGACCTAAGTAAAGACAAATTCACATAGGTGATCGAAAAAAGTACGACAATCTTTATCAAGAAAAGATGTGAGTCTTTTCGTTGGTCGATCTGACGGCATATATCTTATATGTGCTTTAATTCGATAATGATTATAAAGCATGTTGAATAAGTATTTGTATTGTAATGCGCATTTGATGAGCATTGATTCATACAGTTGAATATTTTTCATACGTTTTAATAGGCATTTTTTATATCTTTGTTCGATTGTAGGTAGATGAAAGTGAATATGTAAATCATCTGTAGGACATTGAAATAGATAATGGATCAATCTTAAATATCTTCGATAGAATGCTGCTAATCGTTCTGGAGAGGTATTTGAGAACAGACAATAAATTGTTGCCATCATGCACATGTGTGGCTATTAAAAAAAATATTTCTCTATCAAGCTGCGGCGCATGAGAAAACACAAGTGAGCCAACAAATGACATATACTACGATGGAAATAATATTTTTCCAGGCGGGGTATCACTATGATTTCAAATAGCATAATCAATGAATTTTCTACCAAATGAAAGCTTGTGAAAAATGGGATTCAGGAGTATAATTGACCATTCATAGTATGAGAATTGGCTATAGAATTAGGGAAAGTTTCAAATTTTAGATACATAATTGGACGTTTCTACGAGTAGTCAATCACTAAAACATCAGGCTTTTTCGTCTTTCACACTTTATAGAGCTCTCTTCGCTGATCCTTTTGGTAAAAAAAAATTTTTAATTTCATCAACAAATAATGATCCTAGGGTCCAAATGCTGACAATTTCAAGCTGCTGTGGCTGATAGAGCTAATGTGCTTATGAGTATTTCGACCCTAGGATCATTATTTGTTCATTAAAGTTAAAAATTCTTTTTTTACCAAAATGATCAGCGAAGAGGGAAAAATCTGCTTTTGTCTCACTTGTTCATTATGAACTCCAGTGGAAGTAGTCCGTTACGATCTTCGGACATAAGGAAAAAGACAAAGTGTCCCGAATGGAGTTCGTAATGGCAAAATTCAATGAAATATAAGAAAAAATAGGATGTTCGAAATGAAATTTGTCCAGGAGGTCGTAACAAACGCTGAAAACCGCTTGTTAGTGGTTGAACAGCGAAATTTTGACTGGAGATCGGAAGGAGTAAGTCCGGAAGTTTGTAATGACAAATACATGAGGGTGGTAATGAAAACTAGAGGGTGTTCGGAATGCAAAAGGCAGGATGTTAGTAATTATGTTGAGACTTACTCACCTTTGAGAGAATGTGAAATAACACGCTTGTCTTAAAGTCTAAGATGGTATATTAAGGACGTCTTGATCAATGCAAACAGTCAAGATTGCTCTTCTTTTTACTATTCTAATTCTATTTAAAGAACAAAAAAGAAGAACAATATTTTTTTTCACTAGCTTGAGGGTGTGGGGTGAAGTCGGTTGTGGAATGATTATAATACTAACACCCACCCACATCCACATCCTCAAGCAGCGATAGAGAAAGAAAAATGCCTATTCATATAGTTATGGAGGGTGTGGGTGTGGGTTGGTGTGGATGTGGATGTGGATGTGGGGTGTGGGTGTGGATGGGGGTGTTGGTGTGAGTGTGGTCGTATATTCCCGGAACATCCACACCCACACCCACACACCCACACCCATACCCACACCCACACCCACACCCACCCACACCCACACCCACACACCCACACCCACCCACACCCCACACCCACCCACACCCACACCCCACACCCACACCCACACCCC